ATATATATATATATATATATATATATATATATATATATATATATATTGCAAGATTGAATCGCTTATACGATAGATACTTTTGTCTGAGGATTTATTAGAGTTTTGATATAAAACAGGAAATTGCCTGATTTGTTGCCTTCCTGCGTGCTTCTGTCACGGGAAATTTATTTATTTTTTAAATTCTCCTTTTAAATAAACATTTTTCCATTTTATCCTGTTCAGCTGATGGTCTGAGTCAGTTTCCTGGAAAGGCTCTGAGATGTCAGAACAGGGATTTGAAACAGCAGATGTCGCCTAAAACGCGTGATTTTTAGCCTTCCGTCTAAATTATAATTTTTTAAATAGACATCATTAGAAATATGTAGCCTATCTAATACATTTACTTTGAGCAGTTTACATTAAAGCACTGTTTTCATAAAACACAATTTATCTCGAGGAAGTGCCTCAATAGATCCATAATCCCCACTATAAAATTAATATCACTATTACTCACCCTCAAATATATAATAATGTTCTGACCGCAATTAAGATATTTCAATACAAGACCAAAAAGCGAAATGAAGTTATATATTTTACATATGTATTTGTCTAAATGAACAGTCAAAAAGCCTCTCCTCCAAACTGAGTATTTAAATTGTGCTCCTCCCCAGTTTGAACTTGTTAAAAAAAAAAAAAAAAAAATCATCTGTAACAATGAGATGATTCACAATGGGGAACTTTCGCATATACTGGCCGTGTTTCTATTTTTTAAAACTGACCCACCGCTTTGGGAGGGGCTCTTCTGTCAAAAAAATGTGGATTTTTCTGTGTTTAATCAGCTTATTTTTGTTGTTTCTAAAAGTTGGTTATTTAGACCAACCCAACCGCAGACGAAGTAAGGAGGAAGAGAAGCTGCAAACCCGTGGAGAGCATCACTCTTACAGTTTAGATCTGCGGATCTCAGCTAGTTTGGGTGTCCCGACCCGATATAATGTGGTTTACATAACTTTAAATTCCAAGCGTCTTAAACCAACTCATATTGGAGGTGCGGTCAAATCAAAGCTGAGGACCAAAATGAGAAGAAAAGCGATCTATGCGTCTATTACGCAGCGCAAACGACCCGGCTTGGAACCAAACGCAGGCCAAATAAACGGAGGCGCTGCACTTCAGACATTCTGGAAAGAAGGCTTTTCTGCAAAATCTTCTAACGATGGAACAGCCTCTCGTCCTGATAGTAATATCAGAATTTACAGCCAAAAAGCACCGCCATGGTTCAGCGCAGAGGACATTGAGAGCATGCGCTTCCTTGCAGACGCTAAAGTTTTGCAAATGAAAGAACTCGATCGTACGGACGCGAAACCCCTTCTGATGTTTGAGTCAGCGAGAAGGGGCACTCTGCTGTCCCCTAAACAGCTGAAAAGGACTAATGCATGTAGGGGCCAGTGCGGAATTATCCACAGCTCCGTGGATAACACGGAGGTATTTGCTTTCCATTTGGATAGGGTGCTCGGACTAAATAGGACACTACCTGCAGTAAGCAGAAAGTTTGGCTCTTTGCACGGTATGTCAATGCAAGGCGTGACATCAACATGACATGTTTCTACTGTTTATTAAAAAGAATGATCACAATATTATTTACATGTTATTATTACATTATGTTGGGGTTTTATGTTGCTGCTCTAAAGTGTTGGGACTTCAAATGCTGTCACATTACAACCTGGTACATTTATTAAGCTGTTAAAGTAAAACCTACAAATAAAATATATTTGTAATGCAGGGAAAACTACCTTCAGAGATGATCAGATTAGTTTACAGAGTTCCCCTTAATTCATTCTGAAGTTTGCAGTACTTGGTTCAAAACGAACAATAAAGAGCAAACAGAGGATGACTGAGGAAGCACAGAAAAGTCAGGAAAAAGGTGGAATCCATCACCTACGAACAGAAAGAATATTTCCAAAATGCAAACCCACCAAAATGCAGGTGACCACTTCAGCTGACAGAAAAGAGAAACTGTTGACAAAGAACAATTAACCATGCATTTAAAGAGAAACAGGCCCATTTAAAAGGACTTAAATGTTGAAAGAAAGCAGTTAAAGTACTGTTTTTAATTTGTCACAAAGTAGCGAACATGTACTTAAAGGAGATCTGAGTAGACTCCATAAAATATAAAGTTTGGAGGCTGACATTTGAAATTTTCTGTCTGTCTGTCTGTCTGTCTGTCTGTCTGTCTGTCTGTCTGTCTGTCTGTCTGTCTGTCTATCTATCTATCTATCTATCTATCTATCTATCTATCTATCTATCTATCTATCTATCTATCTATCTATCTATCTATCTATCTATCTATCTATCTATCTATCTATCTATCTATCTATAAAAAGAAGATCTTGTTATTTTATTTCCCCTCCTTCCACCAGAAATATTCACTGCCTTGGGTGGCTATTTTTGATAAATACATACATGTTTGTTGTAATCATAAAAACAATGTTAAAATGTTCACAGACCCTCTGAATATCTTTCTAGGCTCTGAACCGGTTTTTTGATACTTCAGAGCATTTGCAACGTTTGAATCTTTTTTATACACAGATGTTAAGATTATATGGTAATTGGAAGCAAGTCTCTTTGTTGCCTTACCTTGTATTACAACAGTCCTGCTCTTTGACTCATGCCTACTTCTGCTTTCATATTTTGTTATCTGTATTAAAAATTTATGAGTATGTTAAGTTGAACCAGGCGAACAAAATGTTTACACTTCTGGGTATTGAGTTCAGATAAACACTGCTGCCTTTGCTCATTCACCTTTTGACCTTGTATGAGATTAAATAGCTATAAACCATTTTTAATACATAATACATGCTTTTTTTAACCAAACCTTAGAGAATTATTCTTACACATAACTCTTATCTTGGGGACCATATTGTTTTTCTTTCTCCTTCCTGCCTTTATCTGCGAAATTATAGGGATCACAAATGTGTTTTCTAGGGATTCTAGTCAATTTAATTGAAACTGAAAGGATACCTCTGGTTCATGAGGGTTTTTAGATTTAACATGCTCTAATGCAACAATTTAATTCCTGTTCCTCTGTCACTTCAGATAGCCAGGTCTACCAGGTGGTGCTATGGGATGCATCGTTGTACCCTAAAGACCCAGCTAGTGTGAGGATAACATGGAGAGAGTACCAGAACTTCCTAACACAGAGGTGCTGGCATAGAAACGGTATCCCAAAGTCTGATTCTGGGTGCTCATCGATTCATTACAGCGAATGGAGCAAATTAGCTCTGTTTGACTTTTTGCTACAGGTAAGCTTCATTTCAGCTCTGTTAACATTTATGTGTCAAATTGCTTCATAAATGATTTGTACATTTTATTCTTCAGGACTTTCCTCTGGCAGATGTTGTAAACATTTAAATGCGATTGTAAATTTTGTAATTTGGCAAAACATTATATCTTGTGTAAGAGGTTTCTATAAAATTACACAATTTCAGAACCCCCTCTTATTTAAAGAGATTACACCTACTGTAAGTAAACTGAGGAGAAATATAATATTTTACATCTTATAGCTTTATCTGTATGTGGTGCTTTTGCATAAATCATTGTTTTCTGTTTTAAAGCAGCACTATTACATTTTTTACTTTACTATAACCTCTTTTAAGTCCCTGTGATGATAATCTGAATTTATGAGACTATTGAGGTATCTGTCATCTACAGTTACAGTAGCCTCCAAATGTCTTCTACAGGATCGAGCAAGGGCATTTAAGTGGATTGTGTCTCCTTTTTTTAGTGTCGCTTTTTGAAGGCTTTGTTGCTTCATGTTTTTTAATTTAGTGCAAAGAATTAACTAGAACTTTAATCGCATTTATGGTCACAATTCCCTTTGAAGGCAGCAGGTGTTATGCAACAGGAGGTGATGCCTTTTTAAGCTTAAGTCAATCCCCATGCAATGATGTTACATTACGATGTGGTGTTCTGATTTGATTTCTTTTATAACATCTAAAATGCTAACTGGAGCCAAAGAGACAAACTGATCAGTTAAGAAGAAAGGTTTTTAAACCCTTATATTTTATTGCCAAACCTTTAACACCTAATTAAATCTGTAATACAATTATTGTTTTGGATTTAAATAGAGTAAGGAAATAAATCCTAACTGCAGCTCTTATGTTATGTTATGTTTTCAGAGAACATTTAATTTGTCTCATTAGATTCACAACCGTCTGGATCCAAGCTGCTGCGGATTCAGGCCCCGGCAGGAAGATGCATGTGTTGGACACCCTGCTGCATGTAAGAACCAGGAGAACTTACAACTGACAAACATTTTCCACAGAGAACATGATCTCAGGCATCTAGTCTTCATGGACAACAAGGGGTACTTTGACCGCAATGAGGACAACCTGGACTTTAGGCTGCTGGAGGGAATTAAGGAGTAAGTTGGTTCAGCTTTATCAATTCCTGTAATATGTTTTCATTGTTTTCCACCATTACTGTATTACATTTTCAAGGCTAGGATGTAACAATATGTATGACAGTGTTCTACAAAACCTTTGTTCGATAGACTAACACATAGTGAAGATAAATAATGAAGTGGCAGTTTCATTTTAAAAATTTTACAAGCAAACAAAAAAAATTTGACATTTACATTCTGGACCCCTTTTCTTTAACCCTCAAATCAATTCCTGTGCAACATGTTTTTCCTACGGAAATAGGAAATTACATAATTTTTAGCTTCCATGTCTCTCTGGCATCCATTCCACACCATGTACCCTGGAAAACGTTTAGCTATTCAGACAGATTGGCGAAGCAAAACATTGCAAGTATGCAACAGTTCCTACCAACGACTCCACATCTAAAAACATCTTGTGATTCAAGTTATTAAAAACCACCACAATCTACAGATTGGGAAAAACCACAAAGAGGCTTTGAAAAGCTGCAAACAGCTTTTTTCTGCTCTGTAGGATTGAAGGAGGGAATCAAGCAAATCAAAATGGCGGCACCTGTAACATTCAGGAAGTTATGTTTGGTTATAATATTGATATTTCATTGCTTGCAGAGAGTCAGGTGAAAAAGGCTGCCTTTGGTAAATTTACTTGAAAGAGTCGGCTTTTGGGAAGTGGATATGACAAACAATAGTCTAATTAGGGCTTACAGATGTTGGAAACAGCTAGGATTTTTATGAATGTCTGAAATTTTATGATTACAGAGTTAAGGACATGATGCAGTCTGCTCATGCACCCTTTATTATCTGAGAACCGAGCCTGAACTGAACTGCGCCAAGCCCTACTCTTGAACTAGTACCAGTTTAACGCAGTTCAGTTGTGTCTTGCACGGTCCGGTTCTGTTTGCGTGCCATTTACACTCAACAGTTATCTCAGTTACTGTTCACGGACCGCTATTAGTACAGTTTCAAAAGGGTAATGTAAACGGGGCAATAATCCAACCTTTAGTCAGAAGGGGGGAGATCTGTGCTTCAGGTAGGATAATCTAGAGAAAGCAACAAGTGTTTTAAACACTCAACAAATGCAGCCTTTATTGAAGATTTGTCAGATCCTTGTTTTGTCATATAAAATATGCTTTGAGGTTGGGCTTCAGTAAATACCTGTAGAACAACCAAGAGTGAAAGTTTTTTTTTTTTTTTTCCGTGTCGGCTCTTGTTAAAACCAGAAACCCCCATACGAGTGCCCTCTCCACAAAATGTGATTTTGGTCCTCTTCCAGCATTTATGTTATTTCTGGTAGGGAGCTAACATTAGCCTGACTTGCTTTTACCACTTTTCTTTAATATTTTTCTTCTGCTAAAATTATCAAACATAAATAAAAAAAAAAAAATAAGAGGGATTTTATATGTAAAATTTTTTATTAAATTAAAAAAATCAAGTCATTAATTTGATTGAATTAAATGTATACAGTAACATCTCAGTAAATTATATGCATTTCAATGAAGGCTACTGACAACCTTTAAGCAGATATTAAACATATCTTTCATTAAGCCCACATTTCTGTATTCGAAATGTTACATATTGACGCTTTAGAAAATTAAATGACATGTATTCATTATTTTTATGTGGAAAATCGTAACAATTATCAAACAGAGGCCTTAAAATGTCTGTCTGTGTAATAAATCTACATAATCAAGAATCTAGGATCTTAATTGTTATTTGGGGCAGATAGTGATATTTTTTGTTGAGACAATGAGCTCAGGTTGCATATGTATAAACCACAGATGGCAGTGGAGTGGAATGAGCATCCCTAAAAGTCTTAAGGAAGTTCTGAAAAAAGTAAGAGAGAAAAATACACCTATAAAAATCATACAGCACACCAGGGGAGAAAGTGGAGCACTTATAGCAGCTGTAAGACATCTCTAGAGAGAAGTATGAAACATGTACATGGAGATGTAGCATGGCGTATCAACATAAAGTGAAGCTCATGCTAGAACAGCACATAAGTAGGTCATGAAATGGGCTATTGAGTGTCTGCAGGGGGGGCGATCACTTTCGCAGCTCTTGGAAATGAGCATAAGCCGAGTCCAGACTGTTTCCTTTAACCCCCATGCATCATCCCCTGTGCCATACACTTCCAGTACCACGCTGTCATTCTGACACAAACACACTTTCCACTATAGCCCTTTAAAATTTTAGTATGTAGAAGAGGACAGAGTGCAGATTGTTTTAACTTTTCAATTTTTGGGTGATGACACCTTTGAAAGTCTGCATAATAGCGTCACTTACTAATTTAATATTGGAGGTAATCCAAAAAAAATTTAACTACAGGATCAATTAATAGTCATTGGACACTCCAATTTGATCAAAGCGTATCCCAGTCTGTCCAAGAGTAACACATTTACAGAACAGCTTTTGAAATTATAAGTGAATCGGAAAAACAGGTAGATTATTAGAAAGTTGATTCACACTCTTTACTAATTGTATTCTAAGGTAGGATTCCCAAATAAAATTTTCACAAAGAATATCATAAAAGCATATCCAATATAATGTTATGGGATTTGACCGTTGACTGTCTAAACAAAAACCAGAAACAAGGCTACTAAAAATCAGTTTCCTATAGTGTCGGATGGAAAACAGCAACAGAGAAACCTTTATTAAATGTTAGGTTTAGCTTGAGACAACAGAACCTGCCACTCTTTGTTACTTTATTAGCTTCCCAAGGATCAGTTCTCCCCTTATTTGTGAGATGCCTTTAATGAGACGGGCTTGAAGAGAGTGATCCTGAGAGCTTTGACTGTTTCTTTCTTGTTATTCCCCTATAGTACTACTTTTGATTACTACTATATTGATATACTTATACATTTTAAAAGCAGTAACCGTAGCTGAGTTATTCAGAGCTTTAAAATATCAATTATAATATGTGTTGAATATCTAACTCTACATCTCCAGGCGAGCATTGCACCTGTCTCCCAATAAACAGCCCTCATGTAATTAAATTAGGTGAGCTATTGCAGGAACCTTGGAGCAATGGTAAGATATTTCAGACTTGATGCAACCTACTGGGTTTACTTAAACAGAAAATCCTTTAACTCATATGAGTATTCCACTGCACTGAGCATAACTACAGATTTAAGTAACTGGGACTGATTTCTGAAAACCTCTTAATCAGAAAACAGTCAATGAAAACTAGACTACTAATAAAATCAAAAGGTGCAACCAATCATGTAAATGCTCAATATGAGTTCGCCATAGACAAGGACCACAAAATATTTGGCAAAATGTCCTTTTAACAACTTTTACTGTACATCTCCATAACTCTACATCTCTTTCGTACAGCATAAACATAATAATGTTAATGGCAAAACTCCTAATTTGACGAATTCAGACAGACTCAAACCCAAACAATCCACATTTTATAATAAAGTCAAGGAACTACCATGGAGTGAAATGATTGCAAGTCTTGCCATGCTGCTGAACTTTTTTATTTTCTGTTCCAGATGTTCCAGATAACAGTAGCTTGATTTCACATATATTACACTGACTGTTCTTTTTTTTTTAAATAACAAATTACACTAATCTCCCCTGGTTACCGACATGAGAGCTGCAGGTGTAGTGACTGATAGTCATCTGTGAATAAAAACAAAATTTCTTATGGCAGAGTTTCATAAAATATAATGATGCAGCTTGTAGCCTGATGTAGCCAATAGAAAATTGCTTCTAAGTAACAACAAATGTAGTCATTTACTGGAAAACCTAGGTTTGGATAACAGCTGACTGTGCAAGACTCCTAGGCCAAGTCCAGAGCACTCGTAAAGTTTGTTCAAACCAGAGAGATTAGAAATAAGAGAAAAATTGTAAATGTGACTTTTTACCCTAAACCACTTGTATTATGATTCTGGCCTCCCTGTCTGCTTTTTCACACAGACTCCTTCATCCATGCCTGCTCTGTTCCATGACAAAAATAAGCGTTTCTAGTCAGCGTGGTAATTCATACTGACTCTGTTATACTGCAGCATGACAAACATCCCCTCTACCACCCATCAGATAAATGCATTGAGTCTATTTTTGACCAATAACCGAGCAAAATCTAACAACCAGATGAGCCACAGAGGAAGTCAGAAATAGTGAGAGTAAAGCAGATCTAATAAATTTTCAAAATAAGAGCTGATACATGGATGGGTTCGGCACTCCGCTTTTTGTGCTGGATGATGTAATAGACACATGTAGTGGTATGTGTGAAGTCAGCTTTACTCTCCTCTTCATCAGCCATCAGCTTCATCAGATGCAACTGTGGGCTGATTTCTGCAGAAACCCAATCAAGCTTATTTCCTGCTAGGCTGCTTTTATTAGCTTGCCTTCTCCAGACAGACGGACAGTTGCAGGCTTTTGAGGGCTTTATTTGAATACTTGTCTAGTGTTCTGTTGTGCACTGAGCTGTAGCTATCTTTGATATTTATTCAAAAAACTTTTGGTCTATTATATTTTTTCCCGTAATACATGCCAAAAAGGCTGCACATTAGGGTAGCAAGTGAAAGAGGGAATTTGTATGTTATCAACGCACACAGTAACAAAGCCCATATAGGCTGTGATTGATTATTTCTCTGCATTGACTATTTAGATCTCAAGTGAAATCAAGGAAGGGAGTCTGCATGTTTCTTATTTCTTTTGCCCTTATTGTTGATGTGGTGCACACCAGAACACCACCCAAACCCTCCCGGTATCAGATATCCAATAAATTTTATGTATAAAGCGCAGATTCACCACACATGTTATCTCAAGGCACTTTATAGATACAATTCAACCAGATCATACAGTTTGATTGGTTCAAAGTCTCCCCCACCCCCCTCCAAGAAAGACACAGCCAGTCAGACGAGCTCTGACGCAGCCCTTGTCAGAGGATGAGAGAGAGCACATACAGTTAGTCACATTAAAAGAAATAGGACTAAACTGAAAAACAGGCCAAGCTCCAACAGCTATAAACAAAGGTGTTAATGGTAGCAGCACAGTTGATATTTTCCTGTTTGGCTGAGACACCATCACAGCCAAACATGAACAGACCAGATGAAGCTACTATTATAAGGAAAAAGCAGAGAGAACATGACGTTAGAGGTTGAACAAACAAATACTGCAGATTGAGGAAAAGGGTGCCTATGTCCTCCACCAGTCTAAGCCTAAAGCAGCATAACTATAGAGCTAGCTCAGGATAACCTGAGCCACTAACTATAAGCTTTATCAAAAAGTTAATTTTAAAGCCTACCCTTAAAATTAGACAAGATGTCTACCTAATGGACTAAAACTTCCATGAAAAATAAAAGATCTGCCTCCCAGTCTACTATTAAAAAATTCAGGAACCAGGAGTAAACCTGCAGATTGAGAGTGAAGTGCTCTGTTAGGAACATGGGGATTACTTATATGTCTGATATAAGATGCAGCTTGGCAATTTAAGGCTTTATATGTAAGAAGGAGGATTTGAAATTCTATTCAGAATTTAACAGGAAGTCAACGAAGAGAAGCTAGGATAGGAGATATATAATCTCAGTTTTTATTTTTCTTCAGAACTCTGGCTGCAGCATTTTGGGTCAGCTGAAGGCTTTTAACTACAGTTTGTGGACTTCCTGATAATAGTAAAGAATAGCAATGCATATACTTCTGGTGACTTGAGCATTCTGCTGAGGGCAATAATCTTATTTTTAACTTTTTATTCAACTTGACAGCTCTAATGTTGAGTGATTTACAATGGTCAGGAAACCCTCCTTGGTAACCATTTATCATTTCACCTTCCATACTATAATTGTGTGCTATTTTGTGTTGGTCTATTACATAAAATCCTAAGAAAATATATTGTGGTTATAATGTGACAAACAGTTTGTGTGTGCTTCTCATATCTCCATATTATGCTCATCCCATGATCTGATCAAATTATACTGCTTCAACATGGATAAATGTACCCTAACTTAATCAAGAATCTTCTTTTGTCTTTCTAGGCTTCCGGAGCAGGCTGTGTCTGTAGTGAGGATGAGGAAGCTGAGGGAAAGACTTCTCCAGTCACTGTTTCTGGACAAGGTGTATTGGGAAAGCCAGGGTGGTCGAGAGGGCATCGACAAGCTGATTGATGTTATTGAGAAGCGAGCCAAGGTCCTTCTTGCCTATATCAATGCTCACGGGATCAAAGTTATTTCAATGAATGATTGATTTTATTGTAAAAGTTGAGGCTGTTTTTTATTTACATAAATTATTTAAAATATTCAGATCTGCTTGTAAATAGTTTAAAAGGGAAGAAATCTATTTGTTCTTTTTGTTTTTTACTAAAAGCATCATGAAATGTATAGTTATACTGTGATAAAAATTGTTTTGTAATCGCTTGCTCAAAAATATAAGGGTGAAAAATGTCAAAAATTAAAAAATAATGAGTTAAGCAAAAAAAAAAAAAACTGTCAAGAAACCTGTTGGTATATACAGCCAGAGAAGGACATTGATTAATGTAAATTTTCTGAAAAGGGGTATGAAGAAGTAAAACTTATTTTTCATAAAAAATTTGCACTAAAATAAATATTTTTTTCAGTGTCCTGTCTGGTAATGTGGCAACAAGATTAATTGTCTAGATGCCGAAAAAGATCCCAACAGAATTTGCTTTCAAAAGTGGAGCAGTAGGGCTATCAACATAGTGTTCCGCTTGATTTATGCATAGAAATAGCTTTATTATAATTCATACAGGGAGGATTACAGATTATATGGACTCCGCAATGTAAGTAAAACAGGAAAGGAAAAACAGGAAAAAGGAGAAAAGATGAAAGAAGGAGGTGATAAAAGGGAGACAAGGATAAAACGTCTTCAGTCCGCTTCATCACCTGCAGGGAGAGATGTAAAAAAGAACAGTGCAAGTAAGTAGTAAGTAGCACCTTGATACTATTGCTGAAGTATTAGTGGTATTATTTAATCTGACATGTATACTGTGGTACAGTAGCTGAAGATAAGAATATGGGCTTTCTGTATGGAAGTGAATCTCTTAAGTAGCTGGAACCAAGCACCTGTAATTGTTTGTGAGAGTGCACTTGTGCATGTAAAGTTGATCCTTTTGGAGTTAATTCCAGACCTTCACACCACTAACTGAAATGCACATCATCACGGGTGATATCACGTGTAGTCCAAATGTTTCTCATAGAGTTCAGTCATATTTATCCAGCTCTGTGAGGCCCGAATGACCAAAACCTTTGCCTTCTCCAGTGTTCCATTCAGCTTGATGAAGACCTTACAGTTCATGGTCCACTTGGACTGGATCTTCTTCTGCTTCCTCAGGAACTGGGCCTTCTTCATGATATTCCAGGTGTTCTTCCTGGTCAGGTGCTTGTTAATGAACACGTCTGATCCCTTTAGCAACCTGCCCTGTTTCAGCAAAGCAGTTTTGTGTTCCTTGTTACTGAGCCTCATGATAATCACCGGTCTGTCATTGTTCCCTTGTCTCTGCTTCAACGGAATCACAGTCCAGCTTTATCCCCTTTGACAAGAGGCCACCTGTTCCTTGTCGGGTGATGGCTCACCAGCTGGACAGGGCCCTGCCACCACGCAGGTGTAAGAGCGGGGCTTTACACACAGTCCAGTGATTATCACATCATTCTTTCTGGTGTAATGTTCCATGTCAGCCACTTAGGCCCAAAGCTGCAATCCGTTTGTCCTTTTACTCATTCAGCAGTCATAAAGCCTTCACCTCTTCAACCAGGTCCAGAATGGACTTTTGCTGGAGTTGAATGGGTGAGGTTTCTCAGAGAGGAAATCCAATGCTTTCCTTATCTCCTCAAAATACTCCAAGGCAACAGGAATATAAACACCACCAAGCAGGCTTGGACTGGTAATCTGCAATTCCAGGCATTTGCCCAGTGGTTAATCCACAATGTGTATTCGTATTGTGTTTCACATTTGAGACACACACGCGTTTGATTGTGCTTCTATTTTTTTTGGGAGGGGGTCCATAAGTGGGCCGCTGTAGATGGAAAAATGCCAAGGCCGAAAATCGTTTGCAGTCAGAGCCTGCGGCCAAGAAACAGCCAAGATGCTGCCAACCCCAAGACACCACTTTCGCACCTTTGGCACAGCTTCTGGTGTAACCGGCTAAACCGTTCGACTAGCAACATCTCTACTTTCTATGTACTGTACATATACTACATTTAAAAAAATAAATTAAAAAAACATAAAAAATTTTGCTTTATCCAGACTTAACAAATTAAGTCTTGATGATTATTTTTTTTGGTTAGACCCACTATTGTACCAGCTTGTTTGCAACATACCAAAAAAAAAAAATAGTTTTCAAGATTATGCAAATTAAATTTGACCCTGTTAGTTATAAAACTAGGGGAACTGCCTATAAGGAAGTTATTATCCAGAATTGTAGAAAGATTTTTCATTAATAGGGTAATGCAGTAACCAGTATAAAGTTTAAATCATCTATCTTTAATATTTTTTTCTGCATTAATTTTACATTTATACTTTAAGTAGTTTTTAAAATGGCCCTTTTACACTTTCACTTTAAAAATGCTTAAGTTAATACTGTTGTGTTTTTACACAGTTGAATTTATACTTCTACTTGAGAAATAAACGATAACACTTTTTTATTTTTTTCCTTTATTTAACCAGGAAAAGTCCCATTGAGATTAACAATCTCTTTTTCAAGGGAGTCCTGGCCAAGACAGCGGCAAAAGATTACATTACAAATTACATTATAGTTTACAATTATATCTATCTATAATTAGAAATTCGTAAAACAGTTACAAACCATAGATCTCATTTTCAAACCTTTGAGCAATCGTTTAAAATGTCCGATTGGAATCAAATCCTTCAACTTCCAGTCTTTCTGAAGATTGTTCCATGCTGTGGGGGCAGAGTGCTGAAAAGCTGTCTTTCCAGCTTCAGTGCGGACACTAGGGACAGACAGAAGCAAAGACTCTTGAGAACGTAGAGAATACAGTTCAGCCACTCTTGGTTGAATGTACTCACAGAGGTATGAGGGGAGCAGACGCAGAATACCCTTATAAATCATCATATACCAGTGAGTGAGTCTACGAGTCTCTAATGCTGGCCAGCCCACACGTATGTAAAGTTCACAGTGGTGTGTGCGAGGCTTACAATTTGAGATAAATCGTAGGGAGGCATGGTAAATTGAGTCTAAAATTTTTAGAACTTGATCTAGGGCATTGATATAGATTGGGTCACCATAGTCCAGAATGGGTAAAAACGTTGCAGCTACCAGTCTCTTCTTCGAATTAAAAGAGAAACAAAACCTATTCCTAAAGAAGAAGCCAATTTTCAGTCTGAATTTCTTAATCAATTGTTCAACATGAGGTTTAAAATTTAGACTTTCATCAATTAAAATTCCTAAATATTTAAAAGATTTAACCCTTTCTATCTCTGACCCATCCAAGGTGATAAGAGGATAGCTATTTTGCAATTTTGTCTTTGTTTTTTAAAATAACATCATTTTAGTTTTATTTGAATTTAAAGAAAGACCTAGTTTTAAAAGCCTGTGCTGAACCGAATTAAAAGCAATTTGTAAAGTAAACACACACGCACTAGGGTTTTTTCCAAAACTGTAAAAAACCATGTCATCAGCATAAAAATGGTAGTTAGTGTCTATATATATAGTTACTTTTGACACCCCTACTGAGCTATGAGGAGCTCTTCTCTGTTTTCCTTTTTCACAAAGGTGTAGATGCAAATCGCATGGCAAAGTCATTGCTCAATACTGTCAACTGGGGCAAATAAAAAGATGACTTAGGTGGAGAAATAATGGAAAACAGAATGCATCAATCACCAAATTTCCTACTGTGAAATTGACAAAATACATGGTTTGGGAATGTTTCACTCAGTGGTTCTTACTTTTACATTTGTATTTTTTCCTATCTCTTGCATTAGTACATAATCTTTGCTCATCGGTGCGCAATTTTAGTCAAACCCTACTCGAAATTGGAAAACTACTCTAACCCTGCCTGAAAAAAGGACATAATGCATGTAACCCTTTTTCTTTTTTAGTCCCAGTTTTTTTTAGGGTTAGGGTTAGAACATATGTATTTCCATTCAACAAAATTCATGAAAATAGTTCAAAAGTTTTAAACCTTGTAACCTTGTGATGTCTCTGTTTCAACACACCTGAGTTAAATAATCAGGCAATTAGTAGTACAGTAGATTAGGACTGTGTCAAAATGTCTGCCCTAACCTTTTTATAGGGCACTATATAGTTATTACACCATTTAAGATGAGTGTCAAAACGTCAAGTGGATGAAAATGTAGTGGATTCGAAATTTCCCACAATTCACCTTGAAAAGTAGTGATTATCTATGGTTACTAAATGAGCAGATTTATTCCACAATGCTTCTCGAGGTGAGCTCTCCTCGCAAAGCATCATGGGATTTGTTTTCACAGTGACCCACTGTCACCTACCACTGTCACTACCCGACAGTAGTAACGAAAAACAAAGGTTCCGCAGGAACCGTGCTGCAAGGCAGAGTTACGTGACCAACAAGGAGTGAAAAGTAATCATCTGTCGGAACGGTCAGTTAACTGAGGTCACTATAAAATCCACTACATAGTCCACGCTCTATACATATACACTATATTGCCAAAAGTATTTGCTCACCTGCCTTG